CATCAAGAATACTTAGTTTGGTTGTTGGCATCCAATATATCCCTCAAATACATATGGTTACTCATGATTCAATAAATATAAATTACGAAAAGTAAAACAATAACGTATAAAATGCATCAACTAATTTAACATGGTCTTTTATTAAATTAAATATGCTCTGCTATTCAACTTAAATTCATGAACGTTTCGCATAAATTTGTGAAATCTATACTCAACTCGCAGTGGGTTGGGATCCCATTTCTTATGTTAAGACCTTGAGTGTACTTAACAAACATTAATAAAATATTTGGATATATAATATTATCAATTGTATCTCCATACAATTCCCAAACCATTAAGCTGATAACTCTTTGTTTCTCATATCTTATGTGTTAGCTTAGCACGCCTCTAAAATTTATTTCCTTCAGTGTATACAACAAAAGATAAATTTTAGTTAAATCAGACCCATTATTCAGAAATATTGGATATTTAATAGTATCAAACATATTTCTAATAGATCAGCCTTGAGTGTACTCAACAAGTTGAGACGATTTAGGACTTTGATTTTTCACTATAATGATGGAAGGTAAATATAAATATGACCTAATATTTTAACGAAGGATTTCGCATGCAAAGGTCTTATCGTAATAACTATATATACTTCTTGTTTTTTCAATTAGTCCAATTACAACATGTATCCTATACTAGTTGGCACACAGACCTAAATAATTGGTTATTAACATTTAGGTCCATAATAATTACAACAGAGTCGTACGTCCAAATTAAATAAGAGCTCGTAGGCCCGTAAAATAACAAGAATATACTAACCATTCAACACATCCACTTGGCGAAACTATAATCATCCACTAATAAAACATGCATCATATAAATACTTTACTATATAATCTAATATTATATGCATGTATATTTCAAGTTTCTAACAATTAAGATTATCTAAACTAATTTAGACAAAGTGGATTGAAATAATTAGATAATTAATTAATCATATTAATCAATAAATTTAATTAACGGATATATTTGATTAAAATAAAATCTTAATTAAATACCAAATTAGAGTCTAACTCTAATTTCACAATTATGGGACAAAACTATTTAATTAAAATCAAATTTTAATTAGGTACTAAATTAGAGTCCAACTCCGATTCTAAGGAAAATTTTATGGTGAAACAATTTAATTAAAATCAAATTCTAATTAAATGTCAAATTAGAATCCAACTCTAATATCAAAATATAATAGGATGGATAATTTAAATAAAATCAGATATTAATTAAATACTAAATTAGAGTCCAACTCTAATTTAAAATTGAATTAAAATTTTAATTTAGGATAGAACGCCTAAAAAAATAAAATTCAATTTAGGATCAAAATTTAATATTTAAGTTAAAATTCAATTTTAATGAAAATGTTGAAACTCGCCAATTTTAGGGTCAAACCTTTTAAAAAAAATCTAATTTAAAACCCTTTTCAAATTTAAATTCAAAATCATTTTGAAATTTGTAATATGACTCTGTGTTTAAAATTACAAGTCGTGGCTCCCAATTTCCCAAATTACAAAAGAGGCTTTCCATTTAAAAATTACAAACTGACCCCATGAATAATACATGCAAGGGCTTGCAATTTCTAAAATTGAAATACAAGCCCCCGCCTTTGATCCACCTAAAATCCGACTGAAAAAACCCGAAGGAAAATCATCCTTAGATAGAAAACTGTGATAGAAATTATATATTTCTTGAATTCTGTAAACTTCTTTGCCTTTCTTGAATTCTAACGATCATGATCTATAATCCACAACTGTCCAATTATCCAGCCTATAATAGAAGTCGACACAGAGAACATGATTGAAAGAGCTGAGATTTTTTTCTCTTGTAATAGCAAGAATATGGATTATGTTTTCTTCTCTACCGTTTTCAAACCCTAGCAATTTATTTATATAAATCCAAACAGGCTTGGCCGTCTTTTAAACTTAATCTGATCCAATATTTAATTAATCCAATTAATTAATTATCCAACACTCGTCAATTAGTTAATTGGTAATTTTTATTCTTCTAGTTCTTCTTTTGTGTGTGACTCATTAGGTTTCCAATCACGATGTCTAACGACATGAATTATTATTTTAATCTAATCAAAATCGATAAATTAAAAAGCTCATTTTTAATTTATTACCAACTCACATTCGTCATTTTAGATTAACATCTAACAATGTATCAGACCAATACTTGTAACGAAAAAAATATCACGTGGTATGACAAAATCACTCTTGTTTGTTTACCATGAAATTATAATCCATTTGTCAATATGATCCAATCAATTACAAGATATGGAAGTATATCAATCTTGATCATCGATCATATCTTTCATTCCACTATTAAGTCAATATAAGTCGAACACTCCTTTCTGGCTTATGAGTATACCCTGACCAATGATTTCGTTATCAATTTAACTAAATGAAATGTAGATCATAATTTCTTGCTATTTAAGAACGACGAATCATTTATTGATCATTCACAATTTTTAAGTGATTTTTGACATATTCGAACGATGCCCTAATAGCGACCCTTGATAGAGCAACATCCAACACCACTAAATTATGATTGTTTTCGTATGAGGTACTATGATAACCTCAAATCAAATGAACAATTCTAATACTGAACGTTAAAGATTAACCACTGACATTCAGATGGTTATCAATATGGAATCTCCCAATGAGTCTTCAATGTTTTATTCTATAGCAAAAAATATCTGCGTGTTTATTTAAGTGTCATCGCACTTTAGGTTGTGAGAATGGCTACTTACTTCACAAGTAAAAAATGTCACACGTAGGGATGTCAACGAGTTGAGCCGAGCCGACTCTCGAGCCACATTTTGAGGCTCGAGCTTGGCTCGGGTAAAATGATCAAGCTTTTTCGAGCCCGAGCAAAAGCTTGAAAAAAAAAATTAGGCTCGACCCAATCTTTCAGCTTGGGCCATTCTGAGCCGAGCTAAGCAGGCTTAGTTTTTGTTTTGGTTTTAGTATTTCTTTTAATATGCCTTTTTTTAAGGCACCTGGTTGCTGCTTCCTTGTTTGGTAGCAACTTGCTGCTTAATTTTTAAATTAAGGCAGTAGGTTGCTGCCAAACAAGGCAGCCTGCTGCTTATTTTTAGGCAACCGTACGCTGCTTTTAAATTAATTATATATATATAGGCTCTTGAGCTCAAGCCGATGAGTCACACAGGCTGGCTTGGGCTTTGTTTGGCATCCCAAAATGGGACTCGACCCGAGTCTCGGCTCGATTCTCTCGAGCCTCGAGTTGGTCGGGCTCAAGCCACGAGAGATCCTAGCGAACGAGCCTGATTGCCATCCCTAGTCATACGTAATAGTTTATCCGTAATAATGATATCAATATTTCGTTATTACTTAGACCACGGATGATTTAAGATTCGATCATGTGTAATTTGTATCTCACAAGCACAACTCCTTGTGATTAACAAATTACTAAAATTTGAATCTACAGACTCTATTATTTAATACAATTTAATTGAATATTAATTAAATAATAGATTTGCCATGAAATTGCATCAATTATATATTAAAAGTGTCTATATCCAAAATTGATTGGACTTGAGGCATAACACTTATAAAAAGTTTCTTAATGTGTATAATAAATTTGTATGTGTTTAAACAATTATTAGATTATATACTCGTAGGTCCTAGAGGATTAAATAAAACAATTATTTTACGCATTTAGCGGAGTCGTTAACTTAGTGCTCTGGCTAGAGTTAGGATCTAAATTTTTTAAGCGACAAGATTATTAATTTATCGAAAATTTACTATACAGTTAAAAGTGGAAGGGAAATTGGTGTAGAGTATCTTAAATTGTATTTATTTTGATTTAGCAAGGCAAAACATTAATCGAATGTAATTTTTTTTTCTTTATTCGCTAATGTTATTGTTTTATTTATTGTTGGAGGTTCTTGAATTTATTGTTCCCTTTGCATTTGCACACCCATCCTTTAAAATGGAGTAATTTAATCATTAACTTTTCATTTTTGTTGGACGCTTCGTCAATATGGATAGTTTCCTCCAAACTTCCGTTAAAATATTATATTAAAAATAAATACAAATATATTTTTACATTAAATTTTAAAAAAATATACAAAAGATACAATAAACGAGAATTATCATTTGTTGATTCCGTTGATCTTGTGAACAGAAGTCAAACCTACTATGTCTTAATAAAGGAGAAGGATTGCTGTATGTCACGTAGTTCTACATTTAGTGATGTGGGTGTTCCCAGTGTGGCTCGGGAATGTGAGTTGGATGCATTGGGAGTAGAAGTGGGAAGATTGACATTGTGGAAAGCATGCTATTGCAAGATAAGGAATAAAATCCATCTTCAAACCATCCTTTCTTGACATTGAAAGTTAATATAAAGCCTTCATACCTAAAGAAAACTTTATCTTTATTCCATGGATGAAAGGCTACTGGTGAAAGAGGACTATATGCTTCAAGTACATTAGAAAATGCACATAATGGCTCTATTTTCTTCTCTGGCCCTTCTTGCTCTAAAATCCATTCACCTTCTTCATAGTTTTTGAGCACCCATAATTTCCAACTTGGAAGTTTATATGCACTCATGGAGATTTCGTTTACCTCGAAATAATGAAGATGTCCTTGAGAAATGCCCACCACAGCGTTCGTTCCGTTCATAAGGAATGATTCATTAGGTATGCTAATGAATCGACATTGATCAGGATTTCGATAAGGATCGTACGCTAAAAGGCTTTTTAGTTTATAATGAATCCAATGAATGACGCCATTTAAAACTATGCAGGGTTTCGTGCCAAAATCCAAGTAGAAGCTGTAACCTCTTGGATGGATCTGTCCGAGACATAATTTAAATAAATAAGTTTATTTCATCTCTAACATCTTATGTTTTTATACGAGGAACTATGTCTCTAACATCTTAAGTTTACATGAGGGAGTCACCATTATGAAAATTGTGCATGCTTAAAAGTTTCTTAAAATGTAGAAGTAACTTTCTTGAAAAGTACATGGAGATATACTTTCCGAAAAAGCTACTTCTACGTTTTAATCACTTTGCAAGCTCATCTGAATATGGTGATATTTTAAATAAGTTTGTCACCTTTCTAATGACTTAAGCTTTTATGTGAGGCTGTTCAACAGAATCACCTTTGAGTTTCTCCATTCTCCGATTTCAGACGAAAATCGCTCAAAAGATAAACTGTATCCTTCACAAGGGGTTGAAGCTTGTACGCTTTGGAATCCATTGATATTTTCACTGCCTATGACTCGAACCACCTTATAGGTCGTGACTCCATTTCCGATACGGCTGATGAATCCGGTGGCTCCATAATTTGTTCTCTTGGAATGAGGTGGAAGGGTGATACACTGCCTGGTAAATGGATTGCACACAGAATATACTAATTCGTGATCACCTGATCGAAACAGCAGCAGGTCATCGTTCGATGCTACAACGTTTGGGTGTGGAATTTGCTCGGAGGGAAACAGAAAATTCGGAGTGCTAAAGGCAGGTTCGTTGGAGAAAAAACAATGCATTCCAGCATTATTTAGGCGAATTGGCCGAGGGCCTGTGCCAATGTCATATTGGAATAGGAGTGTCCATGGAATCAAGTCCTCAGGACGCAGAAAAGAAGGATCTGAAATTAAAAAGAGCCATTCCTTACAGACACATTTGAACCTGAAGATCGACTTGGCAGGAAGTCTAGAAAGAATTTCGAGTAACAACTCTCTTGGAAGATGGAATTCTTTATCAGAAAATTCTCCCGTGCCATCGTTGTTCTGGTGACAGACCGTAACTAGAGGTTGTGGATTGATCCCGACTTCCATGTTCTCGTTAGAGAGCCCAATGTTTAGACACTCGTAGACAAGAGGTTCTATCATTTTTTCTTGTTCAGCCATGACTTCCCATTGAAAGCTTCAGAATATGTGTATCGTGAAATTCCTTCCTTAATCTCTGGACTTCCATGGCTACTAATGTCTTTGCAAATATACTTGTTTTTTGCATGACAGAGAGAGAAAAGGGCAGTTAAAATGGGATCATGATCAAATAGGGTGGAAGTTCCCTTGTGGATCAATTTCTTTCTCAAGTCTAATTAGGGTAGGTAAGGATGCTAAATGGGATGACACTTGATAGTTGACATGACTAAGAAAGAAAAAGAACTTATCAAACCTGTTTGAGAAGTTCCTAAATCATGTTATATGAATATAAATCTAGCTTATATAAATTCGAAGCCCATTTTTCATCAATTGAATAGTCCCTATTTGTTGGGAATGTTAAAATCAACAATTAATTTCAATTATTTATTTTATGGAACCCACAACTTTTCAATTACATATTTCATCAATTTTCTTTAAAATCTACCAAAAATTTGATATTAATCCCTATCAAACAAGTCATAAATTATTGGAATTTTATGATCAAGAAATGGAATAAGATATTTGTATACATTTAATCAGATATGACAACACGAATCACAGGCTGATCCATAATAAAAGTGACCTCGAGTACAAGCTTCAACACAAATTTAACTCGAGCATTAGCAGCCAAATACATGACCACGAATTCTGTTGAAACGTAGAACAAATATCAATTCGAAGGACTCATGAAATCCAACAGTTTCGCTCAAATGTAGACAGAATTTATTCTTTCATCCTCGTGTAAACTTTTTACAATTGGATAAGATCCAAAGGTAAGTCTTTATCAAAACTAACAGCTTTGCAGGGTAGAAACTGTCGACCCCGAAAAATGAACCTAACAAGTGGTCAACAGCGAGTAACTCCACGTAAGTCCCTTCCTACACACTTAGAACACACCTTTAGTTATACAGTGGCTCTAGGATTGGACATGGTTCGGTTCTAAAGAGAATTGAACTGGACATGAAATTTTCGGGTATTTAGTAAGTTGAATCGTCATATCCAAATTTAATTATAGAACCGTTCAAATTCTGTCCAATTCGGCTCGATTTCATTTAGTTCCCGGGTTCCGTACTATAATTAAATTTTTTAACATTTACAAAGTTACATTAATTCAACTAATGACATGTTCAATCTTAGTCCTTACAAAATAGTGTAGTTCAATCTTATGTATCCTTCGTGTCTCTCCTTGCCGAGCTCTTCATAGATTTGATTGTTAAAATTATAGAAAAAGGAAGATAGAGAGCTCACAATAATTAAGAGAGACACAACTGAGCTTCAATTTGATTTCTCCAGAAAAGTATAAATGGCACAATGGTAGAATAATATATTTGGGTAAAACTTAGGTAAATTTGATTAAGTTTGGCTTGAACTGAAAATTAGAAATAAGAAAATCATATTTTTGAGTTTGAGCTAAATTAATTAGTCAACAAATTTCTAATTTAGTCCGCAAATTTATTTAGAAAAAATAAAAATAATTTGGCTTGTTTAAAATTAAAAAATTAAAAAAATTAAGGAGATTAGTTTTTTTTTATTATCTAAAATCGAGAACTGAACCAAATCCGTTGGTTCTTGATTCAAATACCTATTTAGGTATTTAATTTAAGAAGAATCGTTCAGTTTAGTTCAGTTCGGTCGGTTCGATTCGAGGAGTTTTGTTAAGCCCTATATGGCCATTTTCGGTAGTGGTGAAAGCGGCCACAAACACTCCGACGATTAAGTCAGTTAGGTGGTATAAGAAGACATGATATTTCAGTAGTAGGAAATGTCTGCGAACCAATAATACCATACTAATATGAGGAGGAAAAATATATAAGAGATGGTTGGAGTAACATTATCTTTTTTACGATACAAAGTATGGGTATATATAGGGAGTGAAGTGAAGCAAGGACCATTAGATACGGAGCACGTGACCTCATCCATCAATAGATGCATCTTTTCCTATACGTCAATCAATCACTCCATAGGTAGGCAAGTATTTAATTTTTTCAGACAAAACTGGACTTGATTTGACCCTTTGGCGTCCGCTGCATAGATGTCCCATTAATCATGCAAGAGATTTTATCTTGAATAGATCTTTGTATAAAGTCCCCTAGCATATTAGAACAAAGCATTGTGAATCCTAGCAGTAGATGTTTTCCTCACGCGTCACTTTATTGCCATTATGTTGAGCTAATCACCTCAATACATTGGCAATAAGCATATATGTTATGCTTCGCATCAGCACCTTGGAGCCTTGGCATGTGGTGGTGATGTGGACCGAACTTGATGTATGTGCCTATATGGCAACCATGTAGGTGACGATCTGAAGCGTCTCGATAAGTGGCAAACAACACTTTCCAAGTCTAGGTATGGATATTTGTATAATATGTGGACTTTCAATGTAAGATCATAAGCGTGACATGCGGTGGTGACGTGGATCGTAGGAGCATCTCCATAATAAGCCCAACATAGTCCCCCAAATCCAGATATGAATATTTATTAATATGTGGACTTTCAATGTAAAGCTGTGAAGGTAGAGGCGATGTCCTACTTGAGGATGAGATTCTGAATGATGGCAACTTTAGGAAATGTTGAGAAGATGGTTGACGAAATATTGTTCGATCAAAAATACAGTAAGTGCAGGGTTCATTAACAAGTAGTAAAATTGATTTTGAGTCCATGTATCATACATACTGAGATTGTACTATTTTAAATTCAATTTAACTTAGCCTTAAACGAAACTATAAAAATTGGTTATTTTTCTGTAACTAAATTGTGATCTAATAATCTACTTATAAATTCAAGACCTAAATTAATTAAAATCAATGCAAGATTATATTAAATGGACGTTTTATGAAAATATGATGATGAAAACGTACTAGGACCCTGAATTCCTTTATATCTATCCCCTTTAACTCTGAACCTTATGAATTTGACAACACTATTTAATTATAAGATCAATATTCTTTAATTACTTAACAATTTCTATCGAGTAAAGTTAAACCTGTTCTACATGTGACCTAACTATATTTTTATGACGGATGCAAACATATAAAAATACATTAAAGATTTATGAATACTTAAAGATCATGTAAAACACATTGGTATATATTTATGGCCTATCGGACTTTACGACTATGGACACTATGTTTAACTTATTTTCAATCTTTCGTTCGAAGGTAAAATAAGTCACAAAATAACTAGTGCGCATATCACTATAGAGAAAAATAAATCCATGTCAATCATTCAAAAATAAAAAAACTTGCTTTAAATGTCAAAAAGAAATAAATTCACAAGTTAAAGGTTCATGATATAAGTTTCATTTTAATCCTAACACTAAAATAATCTAGTTTAGCATAATGTTGGAATTAAATAAATAAAATCTAAACAACATTATCAAGAAATTGACGGAACGTTATTAATTCTCAAATTTCTTGCACAATTATTGATGAATTATTGTACAAAAAATTTAGAATTATTTCTCTTCTTACTGCCTGTGTAGTATTTTCTATCTTTTTCTGCGTAATTCTCTCCATGTGTATATATTTCTTCCACTCAGCCACCACACTTTTTATGCCAAAAAGAATCCAATTCTCTCATCGCCTTTCCACATGTGCGCGTGCACATATATACTTTCTGCCTTTTTTTAAGGGAAAAATTCATAATTGAGGTGTATTATTTATACCAATTCAAAAATCAGGTAGATAATTTAAAAATTCAAAATTCAGGTACATATTTATTTAATTAAAAAAGTTATTAAATAAATATAATGAAGTCATAGTTATACGATTAATGGTCACAAATTTATAATTATAGGTCACGAATTTATTTACTAGTTACATATCATCAAATTAATTGGTCATGGATTATTTTGTGGTCACAAATAAAAAATTTTCTAGGTCACAAATAATTTTGAAATCACAAATCATTCAAATTACATGTCACAATTTATTTATGAGTCACATATTTTCAAATTTTTTGGTCACGGATTATTTTTTAGTCACAGATCATCAAATTTTAAGGTCATAAACTAAATCGTTGGTCACATACACCAAACACTCCATCCCTAATCCCAATCCATCACCAATATTTGGTCACAGAGCACCCAAATTGTTCGTCACAATCACTATTACACCCCGTCACCTTCACATCCCCGCCATAACACCACCATTACCACCGCCATTGCCAACAACAAGAAGAACAACCACTAAAACATAATAACTGATTGCACCACACCATCACA